TCTATAAGTATAGTTTTGTAGTGATATTATTGTTATGTATAAACTATAAATGAAATTTGATATACCTACATTCGTGCAGTGCACTAATTTAATTTACTTTGCCTACTCGAATTTTAGCAGGGTAGACTTTGTCCATAACAATGTTAATATGTCGCATCCAGATAGTAAAATTCATCCAGATCGAGAATTTTGACGAAAATTCATTATATATGGACATCCACTTCATGAAATGGACAATACCTACCTACCTATATTATGTACTTTGTGTAATTATTATGAAACAAGATTATTATGTTATTTAGCAATAAATAATTATATCGTACCATTTAAGTAGGTCGAAAGATTTTTGTGGGAATTTATACATGGAAACAACAACAACAATAAGTACTTAAAGTACTTTCTACAAAGCGGTATTAATTTATATTATTTTTTATTATATACAAGCCAAATGCCAGCCATTCATCGCAACATCTCAAAAACTACAAAGTGTATAGGTACATTTTAAATTCAGAATAGCAGTTCCTCTAATGATATTAATGTGCAATACGAAATGATTTTCTGATGTTAATTTCCTCGCCTATGCTGGAACTTGCAGACACATAAGTCCTAAAGTCCTGATTGATCTCTCTCGCATATCATGACGGATGTTGGAGTACGTATGAACACTTCAAATATCGTTTACTAAAAGGATGGTTCAGTAGTGAATACTTGAAAAAATCAACAACTTAATTTTTAACTACCTCCTGGCCAAGTTGATAAAAATGTTAAATTTTTATTTCGAGAAATGATTAAAAAAAATTCAGGAGGGCAAGWATTTTTTTCTTGTTCGTGTATGGTATGTAACAATTGATGTCATAAATAATCGGCATGTAAAAATAAATAATAAGGAAGAAAAATGTATTGGTAATCTGGTAATATCTATATAGTTAATTAATTATTATTTAAGTAAATCAATTAATTATTTATTGCTAAATAATATAGTAATCTTGTTTCATAATGATTACACAAAGTACATAATATAGGAAGGTATAGTCCGTTTCATGAAGTGGATGTCCATATTATAATGAATTTTCGTCAAAATTCATGATCTGGATGAATTTTATAATCTGGTTATCAAGTTCATGAAATGAATGATTTCACTATGTGGATGCGACATATATATTATATTAAAAATTATAATTAAGAATATTATTTTTAAATTACAGGCTTTAGGTGCTGTTCACGAAAAGCTCATTGAAGACAACTCAGATTCATGATTAATCACACTATAAATGATTGTATTTTAAAAA